TAACTATAACATTCATTATTGTCTTCCTGAATATTATAATAAATACGGCAACATAACTTTGTACAAAACTTTAAATATTCGTCTATGAGGAATTGCCTTTCAAGTATGGTTCATCAACTGTGGTTCAAATCAAGGGCGGATTCAGGGGGGGGGGGGGTCATGGGGGTCATGACCCCCCCCTGGGCTGGTTCGAGGACCTAGGTGGACCACTAATTAAAATTGTTAAACATAATGTTTTTGGAACGAAGTTCCTTACGGCAGGCTTGGAGGGGATAAGGATTTTGCTGCGCGACCGAACTGAAAAAAATGTGATAGTAAAACCGTAAGAAAAAATCCGTGGAAAAAAGTGCGTGGAATAAAACCGTTAAATGAGACGTGCGCAGGCGCGACAGTCGCATACACAAGCGAGTAGTGTATAATTTTGTTATTTTAGTTGATAATGTGAATTACGATGTTTTTTTATTTTAAGTAATTTATTATTTCCTAAAATACTGAATTTCCTAAATACTTTCTTGTACTTAAATAAAAACTAATCAGAAAAATTTAAGAGAAAAATCAAGAAAACCTACATAAAATTGAGCATGATTTTTTTTGCAATTTGTGTCGATTCTACATTAGCCGAAGGAACTTCGTTCCTACCTGGTGTGCCACGACACCACATCATTTTTTATATATTTTTTGCCACATTATAGATTTTATGTAAGTACCTTCAATATTTAATTAAATTAATATAATATTTTAACCGACTTCAAAAGGAGGAGTTTCTCAATTCGATTGTTAGATTTTTTTTTTCGATGTATGTACACCGATTACGTTGAGATTTATGATCCGATTTACGAGATTCTTCTTTAGTTTGATGCAGAATAGTTGCCATTTGGTCCCATAAAAATTTACCATAGTTTGCCCAAGTAGTTTTCATTTTATGAACACTTTTACAATATTTTAATGTTTGTCATCAAATCTTGCAAATTAAATTCGATCTACTTCCCGGTTACCGGTTGAGCTGAAATTTTGTATACATGTGTAAATCGCGAGACAATGCAATATTTTTATGACATGGAGCTGATCTGATGATGGACCTGGAAGGTGGCCAAAGGAACTTCGCAATGAACGACAGAGCCTCATCGCGTTTGGGTAAATTTGAATCGTATTGACGAGTAGTTTGTCTTTCATTGGTGACCAGGATCTGATGATGGAGCTCCATCTTCAGCCGTCCATGGACATATGCATAGGGTTGCAGTTTTTCCTTATAATAAAGTGGGCTCCGGCTACCTCACTCACCAGACAAAACGCAGAAGCGCTTTATCGCAATCTTCTGTGAGGTCTATGAGGCTATTCTGTGAGGTTCCTATGACCACTCTGCAATGAAACGACTCAACCCCATCGAGTTTCGGCTCGTTTGATTCGTCTTGGCGAGTACTTAAATTTTTAGATAGTTACCAGGGTCTGATCTGATGATTGAGCTGGAAGATAGTCATATGAACTCAGTAAAGAAACGACGCAACCCTATTGTGTCTCGGCTAGTTTGATTCGTCATGACGAGTTTTTCGGTGCCATCCATCTAAATTAGGGTCTAATGACAGAGCTGGAATGTGACCATAGGAACTCAATAATTAAGGAACACAACTGCGTCGAGTTTGATTCGTCTTAATGGGTGGACCGTTTTTGATGGGTGGTGAGAGGTGGTGGTTTAGTGGACATAAGCATGCCACCCCACCTTTGGGAAATAAAATTTGTTCGTACCGTTTGTTATGAATATGGATTCTGTCTTTGATTAGATGGATGAGTGCTGAATATTATGAATGAATGAATGAATGATTGAATAAATATTTTTTTGTTATTTATGAACATATTTTTAACGTGGACAATGTAATTTTAGTTTGTGTACGGCTATTTTAGGAGATCTGGTAACGAAGATTTAAATAAAAAGAAATTTCAAAATAGGTAAGCCTACCAATAGCTACTAAATAGAAAAAAATACTATACAGAGAGGCTTTTCTAAGTGTATCCATTCAAAAGTATACGACGCATTTATGAATGACTACCGCATTGTAAACAAGTTCTGTTTTTTAGGGAATAGAATACCAATCTTTAAAAAAAAAGTTTGGTTTTATTTCAATAAACGATTATACTACTGAGTCTGAACCTCCTGTGTGAGTTTGGGCAACTTTATAAAATCCACCCTGTATATATGATAATAAAAAGTGACGAAATGTTATGAACAAAAAAAGAATTTTGCAAATCCGTCTATATGCGACGAAGTTATGCCCGAACATACATAAAAAATATAAACATCTGAATTGATAACCTCCTCCTTTTTGAAGTCGGATAAAAATACCTACTTTTTACTTGTGTCTATGATTATAAAAATTACCCCCCCCCCCCCCCCCCCCCCTGGCACCAAAGCTGGATCCGCCCTTGGTTCAAATCTAGGATGAAACATAAGTGTTTCGTATACTAAAATAATTTTAAAACTACGTACGTTTTTCTTTTTTGATTAAACCGAAATAAGAATACTTATATAAGATATGAATCTAATAAAATTTGTGTTACATTTATTTGTTTTCTTGTCTGGTTGTGTTTATAAATAAAAATAAACATATAGATATAAATATTGAATATAATACATACATAAATAGGACTCAACCAGACGGAAGCCCTCGGCAGGGGAGACCAAACGGCCGAGGGATAGGGTGAGAGGGAGAGAAACCGGCGGACGATTCGGGCGGTATCGAGGAGCACCGACTTCTGCATTTGAGCTTGGAGCGTTCCGTCCCGGAGTCCCAGTTGCCTCAGATGTTCGCAGACACGACTATCGGGATAATTTCAGTCAACATAATAATAATTTATTTATTATTATCATTATCATTTTCCTGCTCTTACTCTTCTAGCTGAGGTCAGCACAACAAGTTAACCGTATTGTTGTTGTTATTATCAAGAAACGTGTTAAGGTTTTTCAATAAAGAATAAATAAATAAATACATATCCTGTGTGGGAATCTAACACTTAACCCTTGCCGCCGTTGATATTATTTTTATACTAGATATTAATCAATATCACCGCATAAGCGCATAAATCTACTACAAATCATATGACTTCAAGATCACCTGACAACAAGTACTAGATTTCAACTCACAACAGATAATAGATACAAAATGTTGAATGAGCATATAATATGTAAGATGAATAGTTCTAGAAGAAATCATCAGAGTGGGTGTCGACAGAAACGCCAAAAAGGCGACCATAATATTCGAATCGGATTTCGATCCCTCTCAGGTAAGGCCGAAAGAAGCCGAAAAAACAAACGAAAAAAAAAAAAAAAAAAACGAAAAACGGTGCGTCGTCGGTCATCCTTTGTCTACTTTTTCCGCCTATTTTCTCATTGTATGCACCTCGGGGTAATTACGAGATTCTTACCTGGCGAGTATAAACAATTAACGTGTATGGGCCCCGAGACAAATCACGTAACATCGGAGACCGGATTTCTGTAATTTTTGGTGGTTTTGTTGAACGCTATTCTGGTACGCGTGAGTGTTGATTTTATGGGAACCTATCTTGGACCCGTATACGTTACGGTTAGAGATAAGTTGTAAAAGATGTTAATTACTTAAACGATTACAAAAATAAAACTCTTTGCTTGTTGTGGTATTACGATTAATTACGTTTGATGTATATTAACAACACAGCCTCATTTGTAAACAAAAATGTTCACGTTCAAATTCAACTACCACGCATGTGTCCACTTTGCCTGGCGGCGTTGTGCTCATCACGAGCACGTATTTATATTATTCGGCCGAAATGAAAATACAGAAATACGGTCCTTAAAAAGGGCTTAGTATTACTGTGCCTGCCATTTCATACCGTTGTTCTTGTAAAATAAATACTTGTTCGCAGTGGATTCCTGGAATACTTGGATGGTAATCATCTCGTCAGTACCCCTTTTTTTAACATCCTACTTTGTAATTCAAGAGCTCTGAATTGACCTTAGTCTTATTGTAGTCTCTATCCAGAAATTTAAGGTTGAAATACATTATAACAAACATTATTGGGACATTTGTTTGGAGGTAACAAATACCATAATTAAGGTTGTTTTTATAATCTTTATTAGTAGTATAAACAGTTAACATTAAGCTAGCTTCTTGTGGTGCATTTTGATGATGTAATTTTTTGTCAAAAGGTACATTTTAGTTAAATAAAAGGTTCCAAAGTTAAGTCCGAATTTATTATATAACTATATAATTAAAACCATTTTCGTAAAATGTTTCAAAATAATCAGTTTTGCGCCAATTGCCAGGTATATTTATCATAACTAAGATTTGCCTGTCTGTAATAAAACAAAAAATGTTGACACGTCGTCATTGACTATAAATAAAATTGATGCCTTCTTTAATAATTGTCGGAGAATATGAGTATTCAACACAGCAATGTATGATATTGCTGCGTCGAAGCAGGAAAATTACTTTCAAATAGCCCATAGTTTTTTTTATTATGACACGTGTAGATTGGAATGCGCTCGTGACAATCGGTTTCGCGCGTATCCACCATGTTGTTTCTGCTGTCAAAGTGACGGCTAGTAGCTTTAAGTTGCATCCATTTTAAAGTTTAACTGGTAGGAACAATATTCCACAATACAGATATGTGCAGCTAATGTTCAGGATAGGTACATCCTTTTATGAGGTAGGAAATAAAAATTGTTTATTACTAATTAATTGTATAAAAATATGACTTGAACAGAAGATGAATCAAATATAATAGACTAATGAAAAACGTTAAGAGAAGATTAAATTTCTCGTTAATACATTAAATAACATAATAACGAAATAATATCAAAATTATAGATTATAATTATTATACAACATTGTCAAAGCTGCTTTTCGAAATTATAAAGTACTTTTTTATTTATGGTTACTTTCATTCTTGATATTCATGTTTTACTGCCAATTCAACATTTATATGAAGCTGTTGCTATTTAAAATTTATTCAAGTTTATTATCGCTTCAAATTTGTTTCTTCTTCCATTTAATTATATTCAGCCTGTTATTACGCTGGGCATTATCACGGATTAAGAGTGCTTTTTTTTCCGTGTCGAGCCCTTGCAGACCAGGCGGGGAGGGCGTGGTAGCCAACTTGTATTTTATAGCTGACCAGTTTAACTGTGGCCGCCTCTGCTTTGGATACCGCCAATGAATACGTAGCAGGCGCATGCTCCTAGAGGGCTCTCGCTCAAACGGCCACGCGGGCACCGCGCGCCGCATGAAAGAGCAAACAGAAATTTTAAAACCTCGAAAATTACATTATTCCGGTCGCTTTGCGAACGGGGCGGCCGCAATCAACCATAAAGTCCGTAATAACAATCGCGGCCCTCTCAAAGATTATCCCCGCCATTGGCCGATATGCGCACGCACTCATAAACGTTCGCGTATCGCGTGTAATTTGGGTCTATTTATAAAGCGAAATGGTGCCATAAAAATTATAACATGCCCGGATTGACTACGTCACTTTTGATCCTTTTGTCACGGGAAAATCGACACAATTTGTTAAACGTGGTACAGTTTAAAAAAAAAATGAAAAACGAGCAAACGGGTAATCCTCTTGAAAGTCCCTAAGACGTTTCCACAGAGTGGCTGTAGGAGGCAAAAAATTCCGTGGAAAGACGTATAGTGGCGAACCGCCAACCACCAAGGTGGTGTGGAGTTGGAGGTGAAACTTTGCAGCAGGTATTAATGCGAACAATTCTTCATTATTCCCCGTGATATATGTGGCAGATAATGCCGAGATCTTGCAACATCTCGTTGCACTTTCTATCAGCAGCTCAATTTTGTACGTGGTAGGACCACGCAACTGTATTCGCTGTTGCACGAATGGGCAGGTCCGTCCGGGAAAGTAACAGGTCCTCACAGAAGACCGGCGTGAAGTGGAACTATTATACTTCTGGGTTTCATCTGGTGAGTGAGGTAGCCGGGGCCCACGTTATTATAACGTGGTAGCGCATCTGCAATTCTACGAGTGTTGCAAATGTCAATGACTCGCTTGCCACTTCTCACATAAAAAATATTGTAGCTCGTTATATTTTAGGAATGTTTAGTTCTTTGTACAAAGCCAAAAGAAAACTTCAGCCTATTTTCTTTCATTTCCATTTTTAACTTCATAATGCATGAACTTTATGGAAACAGTTCTAATCAATCTGTATAAATCTATCGAAAGAATACAATTGAGCTTTAAAATTTCTGTGGTGCTCAGTACCGGGAAGGATCGTACGGGGAAGTACCTCGGCGTTGCAGAAGACAAGCTAGAGGTCTATGTTTGAATGTTGCACTTAGTGTGGTGCTGGTGCGCTCACCATATATCACTATGTATTCGGTGCCAAAACTCCAAAGAGTTGTCGAAGCAACTGCCGACCTATGGGTGCTGTAGGTCTGTCCATGGGTGTCAATAACTACTTAATATCAGGCGATCTGCTCACCTGCTCATTAGCTCCCCCATAAAAGGTACATGTCCCCAAGCTATATGATGTATACTGTCCGAATATATAACCTCAACTATGACCTTAAAGTACAGACATGTTCACAAACGTTTTGTACAAAGTACAAATTACGACGGACTATGTAGGATACAATGGTTGTACAGTGCTGTGCTGTTATTAAAGTTTATGCACTCGTTAAACCTGTGGAACTTCCAACTAACGCATAGAATTCCTGCTATTTGAGGATGTTTCGTGGATAGTCAGTTACATTTTGTCAGGGCTAATTTCAGCTATTCGCCAATTAGTCGGGAATGGAATTCGAAAACAGAACATGGCACAAACGTGTACAATTGACAAAATGTGCCATCGATGAGAAATATCTTTATAAATAGTTCGAAGAATTATTTTAACAGCTCATTAATTGATTACTAGTGGTCGCCCAGTGGTCGTAATTAATTATACATGTAATTTATTTTTATGCATAATTAAAAATAATACAAGCATTCTGCATTCCTTCTCTATATTAACTATAAGTGTGGGAAATTTCATACTCCTCCGTCCGCGCAATTTTCGTAAAAAGTGGTAATAATTTTTTTGCTTCACGTATTAGGTAATAATATATAGATTAAAGTATTAAAATCATGGTAGAGAGGGATTAGCATGTCCTAAAGGAATAGCTTTAATTCTAAATATTTGTATACGAGTATTCCTTGAACGTTGTTGAAAAAAACATCACAGTCGTGAAATTAAATGGTAAATAAATGCGATAAAACCTACAACCATAAATGTTTAGAACTCCAGTAAACACAACAAACCATTAGTAAACGATTAGCGGCTTGCCTCTAAGAGATCTCGGCTCGATTCGCGTCTCGAAGTAATAATTTTTTATGCAAATTGTAGCTTAATCAGTGTAACATACAGCGACAAGTTACTGCTTCTAACGGGTAACATAAACTATAGGTGGTAGCGTCTTTCGGTGCTTAATTTATCCCTAAACTGGGTTTGTTTAAGAACTTAACTGGGAAAGTCACAGAAACTTATCTTTTATCAATTCTGTTGATAAAACATAGAATCAATTCAAAAATATTTTCTTTGTAACAAAATAAATGGTACATAAAAAAACTTCAATAATCACTGCTTCATAATAGTATATCTGTATATAAAATTAACGCAAAACCAAAGTTTATTTTTACACAATCGTTCGTCTTAAATTGTTCGTCTTATGTGAAGGAAAAGAAAAAAAAAAACGCGAAAAAACGACCGCTACGGGTCTCCGTAACATTGTATATTTTAGTGCATTTGCGTTCTTCCAGAGTTTAATTTCCCTCGCTGTCATTAATATTTATCGGTATTTAATTGTTCCGTCGCGGCTGGGTCGTATTTTTATTCTGTGCTCGTGCCGTTTTAGCCCGGCCACGTTATTGCTCGAATTATCCGGTGTGAAATGATCCGGGATTCGAGCTGGCGTACGCCGCTTTGTCGGTGCACCCCTCTCGACTCGGTAACCGCAGCCACCGCAGATGCAAAGACCGCAGACAGAGTTCCTGCCATTAAGGAGTTTCTATTGAATATTGCTTTGTGCCCATTGTGGCCGCGTTGTGCAACGTGTTCCTACGAGTTGAATGAAGAGGTATGTTGGAAACGAATTTTTACTGATCACTCGTGTCGAATATTATCTGTACGTAATCTGTCCTTGTAATATTGATAATTCAAATGATAATTTTACTATTCAATTAAAATGACATCATCTCACCACTGACAAACGTGTGTATACAATATTATTTCACAAAAATATATCAAAATCAAAATCAAAAATATATTTATTCACATAGACGCTTGCGCGTTCTTATGAAATGTCAAAAATTTTACATAAAAATTAATACGTTCGTAAGTTACCACCGGTTTGGAAAGCATTTCTGCTTTCGGAAGGCGTTTCTGTTGAGAAGAAACCGGCAAGAAACTCAACAGTTGCTCTTTTTTAAAACGATTAGTTTACAATATAATAGAACAAGTATGTCATTTTAGCCTACGTGAGTATCAATCAACAGCATTAACCCCACACATTGGCGTCGTCAAGATATTCTGCAATGGTATAATATGCCTTAGCCATAAGTTTTTGCGTTTAAATTCATCTAGTGGCAGACTTAATACCGATTGTAAGATTTTATTATACATGCGCACAGTTCGCCCCATGAACGATCTATTTACTTTTTTTAGACGAAACAATGGTGTAATTAATTTGTCCTTATTTCTAGTATTTAATTTATGTCTGTCACTATTCTTTAGATAACAATTAAGATTATGTCTAACTTACAAGATATTACAATAAATATATTGGGACGCAACATACAATAAATATATTGTAAAAGTAAAGCCAATACATGTCCCACTACCGGGCAAAGGCCTCCTCTATACAGAGGGTATCAGGGCATAGTCCACCACGCGGCCCCACTGCGGATTGGCGGACTTCACATATTTTCGAAATATATATATTTTTTGTTATTATTCCGAAAATATGCAGGTTTCCTCATGTTTTCCTTCCGCGGAGCACGTGATAAGTCAGCACTTAAAGTTAAAAACTTCATTGGTGCCGGCACCGGGGATCGAACTCAGGTTGCTCGAGTATATTGAATTAAAGGCGAGCGCCCGGACACTGAGCTATCACGGTTCTCTATATAAATATATTGTATTTTATAACAATACACATCGTAATTAAATGAAGTTTTTACGGATTTCACGCCTGTTAAGAAAATTTTAGTTTTCGCATAAAAACGATAAGTCTTTATAGAACACTGAATGTTGGCAGCAAGACAGATGTATCTTAGCACTAAATAGTTTGTTTATTTAATTGCTTATACATTATAGACATTAACTTAATTTAAAATATGTCTACAGATTAGAAAATAGTAAAGGAAAAATACAGTTTATTATAATGCAAGACAAAGACTGACACATAATTTTATATAAATTTTAAATTTCCTCAAGTGCTGAGAATAGCACTATAAAAATTAATATAATTTAAAAGTATGATTTAAAAATACGCAAAGTTGGTCCATCCTGTGACAACGGGCGCAGTAAAACGTTAAAAACGTCTCTTCGGGAAATTTAAATGAAATTTAAAACCGATAACCTCCGCAAAAAGGCTTATTGTTAATTTACTTATCCTTGATCGTTGAGTATTATTTATTTACAAGTTATTACTAAACCAACAGCGGTTAAGCGCAACCGTGTCGTCTCATATTTTTTACTAAAGAAAGCGTATTATAAATCAAAATGAACATAAACTGCCGACGTTAAACTTTTACGGTTTACAAAAATGTCTGCAACTTTTTATGCGTATGCGTTTTTAATTACGCATAATTAATAAAGCATTAAATTTGAAATTAATACACGGGCCAATTAGTTGTCAGCCCCGCGAGTCGGTGTTCTTGCAAAGTTTTATAACGTCATAGAATGCGGACAACGTTAATTTGTTTACTATAAAAACGTTAAATGAGTTACCGCGAATGTCATAAAGCAACGTCGTTAATCAAAAACGTTCGGCGACTGTTTGATTCAAAGCCTAGAGTTTCGTATAAATTAATGAACACAGATAAGTGCTGATGGTACATTTCGATAATCGTGTCAGTCGCCTACCAATGTGGAGTATGAAGATTCCCACGGCTCGTTATTTTCGCGCGTTTCGTTACGAACGGAAACTTAATTTTAATAGCGGTTATTATTAACATCGGTATTCGTTCGTTAATCGTTTTAGGGATGGACAAACTCGCTATTCTTAATTTGAAATTGACA